GAGGGGTGGTCGGGCCCGGTGGGGTGTGCGGGTGAGCCCGGGGGTGCGGGTGAGCCCGGGGGTGCGGGTGAGCTCGAGGGGTGCGGGTGTGCTCGGGGGTGCCGCTGAGCCCGGGGGTGCTGCTGTTGTGCTTGAGCACCCAGCAGAGAGCTTCTGTTTGCAGGCGCCCCGTCCATCGACAGGCCCTCACAAGCTGAGGGAATGCCTCCCCCTCATCATCTTCCTACGGAACAGGCTGAAATACGCCCTGACAGGAGACGAGGTGAAGAAGATTTGCATGCAGAGGTTCATCAAGATCGATGGCAAAGTCCGCACGGACATCACCTACCCTTCAGGCTTCATGGGTGAGCAGGGAGGGCTGTGGCAGGGATCTCAGGCAGCTCTGCGGCCGAGTTGTGAGGCTGAATTTGGGAGTAAAGATGCTTCCTGATGGAGCTGAAGAAAAGATAATTATCAGCAGTTGTTATTTAGTTTGGAGTCGTGTGCTGCAGTGAATTCCCAAGCCGGATATCACAGAATCCCAGACTGGTTTGGGTTTGAAGGAGCCTTAAAGCTCATCCAGTCCCAACCCCACTGCCAGCAGCAGGGACACCTTCCACTAGACCAGGTTGCTCAAAGCCTCATCCAACCTGGCCACAAACACTTCCAGGGAGGAGCAGCCACAGCTTCCTCCGTAGCCTGCTCATGTATGTGTAAGTTGTTGTTCAGACTTCGGCCTTTGGAAGGTTTTTTCTGCTAATTTCCACTTTATCCCAGTAAAAGATGTGAGCCTGTGGTCAGGAGGAGATACCGACCTTGCTGTTCACACCTGGAGTGTGAAAGGTTCAGCCGTCTCTAGTTCTTCTGGAACCTGAGCTTCATGTTGGGTCACTTGGCTGCTGTTTTATTTCCCTCTCTGAAATCAGATGTCATCAGCATCGAGAAGACAGGCGAGCATTTCCGCCTGGTGTACGATACCAAGGGCCGGTTTGCTGTTCACCGCATCACAGCTGAGGAGGCCAAGGTGAGGGGGGCTTCAGCTTGGTGTGACCCCATTGGGTTTGGCTGGGGTGGTGTTTGCTTTGTGGCATCTCCTGAACCGGAACTGTGGCCTCTCTTCCCTGAGAGCTGAGTCCGTGTGAAGCCTTTTGCTTCCAGCTGCTGCGCTGTGTTGACCTGTGACACCCAAAGTGTCGTGTGAAGGGGTTGAGGGTGAAAGGCCTTGAAGGGGTCACCCCAGGAGACTGAGGTGCCCTGGAGGAGGGATACGTATCTCTTGAAGCCTGAAGAAAGGCAGCCTCACAGCCCCCACTGTGTGACCTCCACTGGGCTTCAGGGCAACGTGAGGAAACTGCTCTGGGTGTTTTCCTGGGACAGTGCAGCCAGTGTTTGTGTGGAGGCCAGAGCCCAGGGTGGGGCAGCTGCTCCTGAGGTGTTTTCAGGTGGGGCTGTAGCCCAACCACATGGCAGCCCTGCGAGAGGCGTTGCTGGGGCACTGAGCTGGCTCCTGCTGCGAGCCCTGGAGTGTCGGGGGGTTTTACGTGGGGTCTGAGCCCCCTGGTCTGTCCCTCAGCTGAGCAGTGTTGGGGTTTGTTTGCAGTACAAGCTGTGCAAGGTGAGGAAGATCTTCGTGGGCACTAAAGGAATCCCTCATCTGGTCACTCATGATGCCCGCACCATCCGCTATCCAGATCCCCTCATCAAGGTGAATGACACGGTCCAGATTGACCTGGAGACGGGCAAGATCACAGATTTCATCAAATTTGACACAGGTATGTGTCTTGTATCCCGTGTTGCGATCTTCCCCACTGTTGAGAGCAGTGTGGAAGTGAAATACCAATGCCAGGTATCTAAAGTAGAGAGGCAGTGATGGCAGCCTTGGGAATGGAGTTGTTTTCCTGGGGCATCTCGAGCTGGAGCTGGGATTCCTCCTGTGTGCTGGCAATGGGAGGCATTTGGTGTAGGACTTGGAGTGATTCCAAGACCAAGAGGCACCAAGTAGAAGCTGGTGGAGAAGTTGCTTGAGCCTGGCTGTGGCGGGGCTGTGAGCAAAAGGCTCTGGGGAGCTGTAGAGAGATTCATAAGATCACAGACTGGTTTGGGTTGGAAGGG